GATTGTAAATTGGATGTGGATAGTAAATCGGTCAACATAATCTTTTTGATCCGTTNTGTCAATATTTTTCTAATATATACACTACACTATTACACAAATTCACATTTTAAGGCTAATTTTATAAATTGGGCATGCATGTTTTTTCTTTCCTATCGTTATAGAGCTTGTGTAGTTATATAATTTCAAAAACAGTTATATGAAATAGAAAACAATAAAACTTTTTTGGATAATAATTTAAAAAAGAATGAAAACATAAATCTGATAATGGTGATGATGTTTTTTAAATTGTGGAAAGATTATTTTTAAAAACATACAAAATAATTTTAACTTATTCTCTAAATTTACTTATTTTTTATTCTCAATTTTTTNAAAAAAAACTTCTAAAATACCAAAATTATCCTTATATAAATCCCTTACAAATTTTTTTACATAAAATTCGAGTAAAATTTTTGTTANTCGTTATAGAGCTTGTGTAGTTATATAATTTCAAAAACAGTTATATGAAATAGAAAATAATAAAAATTTTTTGGATAATAATTTAAAAAAGAATGAAAACATAAATCTGATAATGGTGATGGTGTTTTTTAAATTGTGGAAAGATTATTTCTAACAACATACAAAATAATTTTAACTTATTCTCTAAATTTACTTATTTTTTATTCTCAATTTTTANATATTAAAATTTAATCTGATTAAAATTTAATTTAAGCTAATTAAAATTTATTTTTTTACATATTAATATTCAAGCTTATTAATTTTTTTTTATTAATTAAAATTCAAGCTTATTAAAAATTTTTAAGCCAATTTGAGCTCAACTGAAGTTATTAGCGCCGATTAAAATTCAATTTGAGTTAATTAAAGTTTATATTTTTTATTTATTAAAATTCATATCAATTAAAATTTTGATTCAAATTGTTTAAAATTTATTTTTTATATATTAAAATTTGAGTAGACTAAAATTTATATTTTTCATGCATCAAAATTCGAGCAGATTAAAATTTAATGCGAATCGATTAAAATTCAATTGGAGCTAACTAAAATTGGCTCAAATCAAATTTTATTTGACTCAAATTTCAATACGTAAAACAATTCATACTATAGATGAGGTCTTATTTCAGATATATCTATCTAGAAGAGGTGTGTATGAAGTTTTTTTTAAAATATATTTTGGAAAATTCAATAAAATTATATTCTCATTATGTCTTTTAATCTGACAGAGAGTGTCAGTGAAGATTCAGAAAATAAAGTGGATGTTTTTGAAAATATAATAAATTAAAAAATGTGTGATTGAGTTTTTTTTAAAAATTATTATAAATGAATTGTGTATAAATTGAATAAATTTAAATACGGCCAAATTCAAAGGCTGCGTGTTGAAATGGTTGACACGTGTTCGTCTACTGTGGTTGAGATAGACCATAAATACACCTATCAAGAACGACAAAATCCAAAACCCCACCCCCCCAATCGAAGAAAGAGAGAGAAAGGAAAAGTTGGACTAATCGGTCAGAATATGACAAAAAAATATGCCGTCACGCGGCAGTCCGCTAAGTGACAAAACACGTGTCGTCGTCGTCGTGGCCACTTTGGAGTTTAGCAAAAGCACGGAGGGTAGTTTGGTCAATGCATACAGGTTTGGCAAAAGAGTGGAGACGTAACCTTTTTATTTTTGTCGCCACATGCTTTAGACGTCGGCCGCACGCTAGAGCAACCATCATCTCTCTCTCTCTCTCTCTCTTTGAAAATCTAATGCAGGCCAGTATGGTAAATTCATAATTGAGCCGAATTAATCAAACTCAGACATTAATAAGATTCAATAAGGGAAAAGAGTCAAGACGGAATTTTATGAATTATTTGGTTTGATAGAAAATTAGATAGATAAAAAATTGAGTGCATGAAATGATTTTTCATTGTTTAATATCAAATAAAAATAGAAAAATATTACATAATTTAAATGAAATTTAAAAGTTAAAAATTAAATGTATATTATCTCTTGAATGAGTGTAGAATAAGTGAATCTCACTGAATAAATTGATAGAATCTACTCATCTAAGGAATTTTATACATTTGGGTTGTAATTTTTTGAATTTTATTTGAATTTTGTAGCATTACTAAAAAAAAATGAGGGAAAAGAAAAATAGAGGGAGAGTGTTTTCATGTTGCCCACAATTTGTTTTTCATTCTAAAATTGAGAGGAAAGTTAGAAGGAAAAATGAGACAATATGTTTTTTAAAATAAGTTTATTTTTTTGCCTGTCAATATTTTTCTAATATATACACTACACTATTACACAAATTCACATTTTAAGGCTAATTTTATAAATTGGGCATGCATGTTTTTTCTTTCCTATCGTTATAGAGCTTGTGTAGTTATATAATTTCAAAAACAGTTATATGAAATAGAAAATAATAAAAATTTTTTGGATAATAATTTAAAAAAGAATGAAAACATAAATCTGATAATGGTGATGGTGTTTTTTAAATTGTGGAAAGATTATTTCTAACAACATACAAAATAATTTTAACTTATTCTCTAAATTTACTTATTTTTTATTCTCAATTTTTAAAAAATGAAAACAAAAAAAAACTGACTAAACAATTTTTTCTCTCAAAAATTATTTTTAAAAATAAAAAATAATTTATGAAATACAAACGAAGCAAAACTTTTATTTTATTCATTTTTTCTNAGTTAATTAAAGTTTATATTTTTTATTTATTAAAATTCATATCAATTAAAATTTTGATTCAAATTGTTTAAAATTTATTTTTTATATATTAAAATTTGAGTAGACTAAAATTTATATTTTTCATGCATCAAAATTCGAGCAGATTAAAATTTAATGCGAATCGATTAAAATTCAATTGGAGCTAACTAAAATTGGCTCAAATCAAATTTTATTTGACTCAAATTTCAATACGTAAAACAATTCATACTATAGATGAGGTCTTATTTCAGATATATCTATCTAGAAGAGGTGTGTATGAAGTTTTTTTTAAAATATATTTTGGAAAATTCAATAAAATTATATTCTCATTATGTCTTTTAATCTGACATAGAGTGTCAGTGAAGATTCAGAAAATAAAGTGGATGTTTTTGAAAATATAATAAATTAAAAAATGTGTGATTGAATTTTTTTTTAAAATTATTATAAATGAATTGCGTATAAATTGAATAAATTTAAATACGGCCAAATTCAAAGGCTGCGTGTTGAAATGGTTGACACGTGTTCGTCTACTGTGGTTGAGATAGACCATAAATACACCTATCAAGAACGACAAAATCCAAAACCCCACCCCCCCAATCGAAGAAAGAGAGAGAAAGGAAAAGTTGGACTAATCGGTCAGAATATGACAAAAAAATATGCCGTCACGCGGCAGTCCGCTAAGTGACAAAACACGTGTCGTCGTCGTCGTGGCCACTTTGGAGTTTAGCAAAAGCACGGAGGGTAGTTTGGTCAATGCATACAGGTTTGGCAAAAGAGTGGAGACGTAACCTTTTTATTTTTGTCGCCACATGCTTTAGACGTCGGCCGCACGCTAGAGCAACCATCATCTCTCTCTCTCTCTCTCTCTTTGAAAATCTAATGCAGGCCAGTATGGTAAATTCATAATTGAGCCGAATTAATCAAACTCAGACATTAATAAGATTCAATAAGGGAAAAGAGTCAAGACGGAATTTTATGAATTATTTGGTTTGATAGAAAATTAGATAGATAAAAAATTGAGTGCATGAAATGATTTTTCATTGTTTAATATCAAATAAAAATAGAAAAATATTACATAATTTAAATGAAATTTAAAAGTTAAAAATTAAATGTATATTATCTCTTGAATGAGTGTAGAATAAGTGAATCTCACTGAATAAATTGATAGAATCTACTCATCTAAGGAATTTTATACATTTGGGTTGTAATTTTTTGAATTTTATTTGAATTTTGTAGCATTACTAAAAAAAAATGAGGGAAAAGAAAAATAGAGGGAGAGTGTTTTCATGTTGCCCACAATTTGTTTTTCATTCTAAAATTGAGAGGAAAGTTAGAAGGAAAAATGAGACAATATGTTTTTTAAAATAAGTTTATTTTTTTGCCTGTCAATATTTTTCTAATATATACACTACACTATTACACAAATTCACATTTTAAGGCTAATTTTATAAATTGGGCATGCATGTTTTTTCTTTCCTATCGTTATAGAGCTTGTGTAGTTATATAATTTCAAAAACAGTTATATGAAATAGAAAATAATAAAAATTTTTTGGATAATAATTTAAAAAAGAATGAAAACATAAATCTGATAATGGTGATGGTGTTTTTTAAATTGTGGAAAGATTATTTCTAACAACATACAAAATAATTTTAACTTATTCTCTAAATTTACTTATTTTTTATTCTCAATTTTTTAAAAATGAAAACAAAAAAAAACTGACTAAACAATTTTTTCTCTCAAAAATTATTTTTAAAAATAAAAAATAATTTATGAAATACAAACGAAGCAAAACTTTTATTTTATTCATTTTTTCTTCTGTTCTTTTTTTCATCCTTCCAGCAACCTTTGGTATAAAACAAAAAAAAAAAATAATAATAATAATAAAACAATAACATTGTTTGATTTGATGTTGTTACATCGAATAAAGACGTAATTTTGTTTCCTTTTTTTTTTTTAAAAGCAAACAATGTTCGTACTTGAGAGGTGGTTTTTTTTTTGTCCGGCTCTCTCCTTTGCGTTTGACTCCACGTCTCTCTCTCTCTCTCTCTATCTATCTTCTCTCTCTTGTGTGTAGTGTTTTAATCCTCTTGTGTTTGTCTGAGAGTCCCCTGTTTTTATATCAGAGGTGTCTCTTCTTGTTCAGAACTATAAAACGATGAATCAAATGACAAAGCCCACACACAGCTCCCACTTCGATCTTTCGTCTCTCTGAAGCATTATGAGTTGTCAAACACCGATCTTGTTGAAGATCAGTCTCACCTTTTAGGTTTTGAAGGTTTGAATCTTTGAAGATTAGTCATGGCTGGTAGTAACGAAGTTAACGTCAATGAATCCAAGGTATTTTATCCCTCTTTTCGCCTAATCTCTCTTAGATTCTTGTACTTGTATGGATCATATTCGGATTTCTTTGGGAAATATGTGATTATTTGGTTTATGAACTCGTTTGAATTTTCTCTTTCTTTAATATTTCCTTTACGGGTGTGAGTTCTTTGTTCAAGAAGCTTGAAAGGTTTGAGAAATCAATGTCTGATCTGGTGCCAAACGTTGCAAACTTCACTTGAATTTTGAGGGTTTGAGTTATTCACAAATCTCTATCTTTGTGCAGAGGGTGGTTCCACTTCATACATGGATCCTCATATCCAATTTCAAGCTATCTTACAACATGCTTCGTCGTCCTGACGGCACATTCGACCGCGATTTGGCCGAGTTTCTTGAACGTAAAGCTCCGACTACCTCGATTCCGGTAGATGGGGTTTGCTCTTTTGATGTTTTTGATCGAGCCACAGGCCTTCTCAACCGTGTTTACTGGGCAGCCACTGAAAATGAGGTTCAATGGGGCATTGTTGAGCCTGAAAAGCCCTTGAGCACCACTGAAATTGTTCCTGTAATCATTTTCTTCCATGGTGGAAGCTTCACTCATTCCTCAGCCGACACCGCCATATACGATACATTTTGCCACCGCCTTGTTAACCTTTGCAAGGCTGTTGTGGTGTCTGTGAATTACAGGCGATCGCCAGAGCATCGTTACCCTTGTGCATATGATGATGGATGGGCAGCTCTTAAGTGGGTTCAATCAAGACCATGGCTTAAAAGTGGGAGAAAAGATTCCAAAGTTCATGTATACTTGTGTGGAGATAGTTCTGGTGGTAATATTGCTCATCATGTTGCTGTGAGGGCTGCGGAATCCGGGGTCGAGGTATTGGGAAATATACTTCTTCATCCCATGTTTGGCGGACAATTGAGAACAGAATCGGAAAAGAGATTGGATGGTAAATATTTTGTAACAGTTCAAGACAGAGATTGGTATTGGAGAGCATATCTACCTGAGGGGGAGGATAGAGACCATCCAGCATGTAATATATTTGGTCCCCGGGGCAAATGTATTGAGAGACTAGAGTTGTTTCCGAAAAGCCTTGTGGTTGTGGCTGGATTGGATCTTTCTCAGGATTGGCAATTGGCTTATGTTGAGGGGCTCAGGAAATCCAAGCAAGAGGTGAAACTCTTGTACCTAGAGCAAGCGACGATCGGTTTCTACTTCTTGCCCAATAATGACCATTTCTATTGCCTCATGGAGGAGATTAAAAACTTCGTGAATTCTTCTTGTTAATAGATTACTTAACTTCAACTACAGGAAGCCATACATATATAACAGAAGCTTGACAATTCACTGGGTTTGTTGGTCTGATAGTTAAATGATGGTGTAGTAATGTTTGTTCTTATTACTCTTGCCATTTGTGGCGCTGATATGAGGGTTGTGCGTCACTGGTTCGAATTGCAAAAATAAGTTCTTATGTGGGTAGTAGTACACTAAGATTCCCTTTATATGGGTGTTGTGCACCTTTGGGAACTTGTGAAGGTAATGTGCCTCTGTCTTGTTGGTGCAAGAGGTATTCCTTCGGGAGTATCCTTTTGATAGGTGCCTCTAAATGGAGAATTCGCTGCTGATAGATCTCGCCCAGTGTCCCCCAAAGGAAAAGCTCGGTTCAAGGGACTTGTTAACTTAATTATGGATTACGACAGAATTATTTTAGTGTTTTAAGCTTACGCGGGTCAAAACTCCGGCCTCAAAAGAGGGGGGTCATAGCACTATGGGGAAGGATAACTGTATCACTTGGTTCTGGTGTATTGCAACCATCAAGAAAGCTAATTTCGGAACGTTGGATCAGAAATATTCATGCTATTGGGAACATGTTATGTCATACTTACTCTACAAATATATAAAGGTTTTGGTTGTTTATAAATATGTGGAATCGACTCTTCCTTATATAGATCATCTTAATTCCTAGTTATGGTGCTGTGGCTTTTAGATCATTTTGTATTACTGTTGATGGTATCTCACCCCATGCCAAACAAATTGATTCTCTGCATAAATTTTCACCAAAGGAAATCAAACTTGATTCAACAGATCTTCCACATCTATAATGTTTCAACCATCACTCATCCTTAAAAAGGGCGTATTCAGAGCACAAGATTCTCGCTATTACAGGGTCTAGAGAGTTAAATATATACAGTTTTATCTTGCAAATAACTGTTTTCGTGACTCAAACCAGCTCTCGGCCAGCTCTCGGCGGCAATTTTACGGTTGTGTCAAGACTCGCCCTCTTATAAAGAAAAAAGAAAAACTGTCACCCATTATCATGTTCGACTTTAAAATCAGTCTACCATAGTAGTGTGTTTCGAATGAATCCCATTAAACTCCAAATTCACCACATAAAAGTGGACCCAGAAGTTTATTGATGTTTTTGGAATTGCTTCTATTATGTTGTGTTCAGTTTAAACATTTGAAAGGAGAGGAAAAAAGAATGGCTTGGTAGTGGCCATTGAATCCCGTTTGTCATGCCCAAAACCAAAGCCAAACAAACCCCATCCACCAAAAGGATCATAAGAGTTTGGCAGAAGAATGATTGGACACAAGTCAGAATCATGGATCTCGCTATCCTTGGACGTTGATTTGATTAATCCTCGTCAGCACTTGACTGCTTGTTATTGGTGGGTTGTTTGGAGTTTGGGATAGTAACCAACGAAAGGAATTGGCTTTGTTTTCATGAGGGGAAACCCTTCCAACTAATGGTTGCTACTTTTGGATGTACTCTAGGGGACCACTTTGACAAATCTCTCTCTCTCTCTCTCTCACACACACACACCCCCTTTTATTTTTGAGCTGTTGGGATTGCTTTTGAAGTGTTTAATAGCCACCAAATGGTGAAAACAGCTAAGCTTGGAAAAGGACTCCAACCCTTATTTAAATTGACTTTCTGGGTCTTGCTTAGAAAATATGCTTACTTTTGCATCTGTATAATCAGCAATGTAATCAATTGGCTACTTGGGTTTGTTGGGTTGTTTAATTTTGCTTCCCACTTCCTTTGTTCTGGCTTTTCTTTGTTTCATCTTCCGTTCTCTTTTTTTTTAACAGTTAGAGATGTCTCTTAATTACTCATGGTGAAGTTGATGCATGATTCAACAGAGCTTTGCAACCATTTTCATATGGTGTGATGACATAAAATCCAAATTAATATGGGTTATGAACAGCTACGAAAATGAAGTTAACATTGTCTCACTTTTTGTTGCATTTGTGACATAAATTTGACGTGCAGGTTATTGGTTACAATCATATTTTTTTATTGTTGTTTGCAAATAATTGTGGGTATCCGAGATTTACAATTATTTTTTGATATCCAAAACAACTCATAATGATGAATTCCAACATATAAGATAATTTAATTCTCATGATTCAAAAAATCGGTGGATACTATTGATGATGCACAAAACAGGCTTATGCACAATCAACAGTCGGGTGTATTATGCCGAGTAATTAATGAAGTAATCAATAAGCAATTAATTACAAAAGACAAATATTAGGTCTACACACAGATGTATAATGATTTGGTCAGGGCGATCTACTCCATTTTGAATACGGTTACGATGGCTGTAGATCTTTATTAATAAAGTAAGGTGAGAGAGAGAGCTTTATGAAAGGTATGATAGCTATGTAGAGATGTGTAAAAGGTGTCTCCCTCATGTGCAGAGGATTTACAATTTATAGACTCATAGCCTGAATTGAGGCAATGGCGTGAAGAGATATGTGACTAACTTTTCGGGGAGGATAACTACAACTAGAAAGGGTACAATTAGAGATAGTCTCGATCTTGAAAAGTGGGCATTCCAATGATTGCTCTCTACGTGCGCTAATATTTCTGGACTCCCTGAATCTTAGATTGGGTCAACCCCATGAACTGGGCTGGACCTGCTTTGTAGTTAATTTGAACTTACTTGCTTAATTGAGCTTGACCCGGTTGAATTTGGACTCATCATTTGCCCTACATGCCTCAAGCCCTAAATGCAAAAAATGTATTGGGGGCATGAGTGAGCCTCTAAATAGCTAAGGGTTTCTTGCTCCCAACGATAGCTTATTCGTTTCCCTCATTTCATTATCAGGCACTCACTGTGCTGTTTCCAGGTCGAAGAGAATCCCGCTTTAAAAATCCCCCATTTTTGTCCATTATGGGCATTTTACAAAGCTTCAAAGGTTCACATAGGAAGAGCCATGAATCACTTTCTTTGGTTTGTTTCCTTGTATTTTATGTTAGACTACACATTCCCTTTTACCCTTTAAATCACAAAGAGATTCCCAAAGGAGACAGAGATGGAGATTAGGGGAAGTTGGGTCACAACTGAAACCAAGTTCTAGGGACATTTCGGTGAGGTTTGGCAAAGATTCATCCCCACACATGGCGACCCACTTCATTGGAGGCAAGGGCCAACTTCGCAAATGTAACCCCAGAGGAGGTGCCATACCCAAATTCAGCGGGTCAAGAAAGAAGGGCGACGTCAGTCGCATGCCAGTAGGCAATGTCAACTGTACTCTAAAAGGCGGTGCCATTAAGGGTTATGAGGGCGATGTCGGTTCAGACGATGCCGAAGCCTGCTAGGACCACTGTGACTCCGAGATAACTAGGTCTGGCGGCACTGATTCTAGAAGCAACAANAAGGCGGTGCCATTAAGGGTTATGAGGGCGATGTCGGTTCAGACGATGCCGAAGCCTACTAGGACCACTGTGACTCCGAGATAACTAGGTCTGGCGGCACTGATTCTAGAAGCAACAATGCCCTTTGTTGGTTGAGCGATATTGGCGAGGATGGTCATGGCGTAGGCGATGCTGAAACCCATGATGACACGGCCAAGGAAACATTGAAACCCTAAGCAATGTCGAAGGCCATGGTAGGTGGCGTCGAATGAAAGACGTAAATGCGGGAGGTGGCACCCATGACGAGGAAGTTGAGGGTGGCACCAGTGGTCACTTAGGCGCGTAGGGCGATGTCGTAGGAGACTCGGACGCGGTTGATGCCAGCAGTGTGGTGGAGGTCAACAATAGTGGCTGTTCAGACGCGTTGGGCAACGCTGTCGAAGAGTTGGGCAATGCTGTGAAAGGCACGAGATCGCTTGGTGGCGCCGATAGAGATGCTGGAAGCTGCGAGGTGATGTTGTCCCTTAGTATTCCCGTTGTCCCAATTTCTCCTTTTCGTCTTTACATTGGTCTTTATTTCGATAGGTGCCCACTCTGATAAAGGTATGATGATATAGGCTTTCCAACGAGGAAAGGGAGGATGCAAACTGGGTATCGGTTGTGGCAGGCCTCACCCTAGAATGCTGGGTAATGATGCTTTGGAGATTAGCAACGTGGTCAGGGGGGCCAGGCGGTAAAAGTGACGTCCAGTGCTTTGATATTTTTACCTTGTTAATTTTGCTTCTGACATTGGTTCTCATCATGGGAGGAGCCACCCTTGACGAAGATATGACAAGGAATGACTCACAGGGCTCCCAACGAAATAGGAGAATTATTGACTGTGATGGCTCAAAGGTAATTTTGATCTTTAGTTCCACAGACTATGATGAAGATATCACCCATATTGTATATTCGTTCCGTGTTCCTCCTGCCGTTATGTGTCACCAAGCCTAGGGGGATGAACCAGCATGCTACGACTCCTTGGGAGAGATAGTTCTATGAGGACGTCTTAGAGGCAGGTTTGAGATTCCCGATACTCAGACCTATCTGTCGGATTCTAGGACACTTATCACTGGCTCCAGGGAGGTTAATTCCCAATGGGTGAAGGGTGATCCTGACATTCTTCTCATTATGGCGACTAGTTCATGGTATTGATGTTCCTCCCCCTTTCGAAAAGTTTTTGACTTCATACGTGCTTTTGGAGAACCCTTCTCCTCATCAAGGGTGGTATCATTTTGCCCCAAGATCGGGCAAGATTATGGACTACCCTCAAATTGCCACAACTAGAAGTTTAGGTTCTTCTTCGTTGGAGGTGAGTGGGCCGTTGAGGGAGATCGTCACTTATTGCCTTCAAGGTGGGACATTGTTCCAAGGACCAAGCTAGGTAAGAATTTCACCTTTGCTTTTACGTCTAGTCATCGCGTATCTGTTCTTACTGTGTGATTGGTTCCTTTGCAGCTCCACCCACATTATCTGTGGAGCAGAAAAGTAGATTCCAGGTAGTGCGGGACTATCCTTTCAAGGAGTTTTCAGAGATTATGTGCACATTGGGTGGTCCCAAAGTCTCTCCTAGGTAGAAGAGAAAAGGTGTCTGATCCTTCCAGAAGACTCTTAATGGTTATGACTTTGTAAGTTTTTCATCTCACACTAACTCCGCAGGCCAGGTTAGCCTTTATTGATAGAATGATGGTGAAGGCTCTTTATGTTTCTAGGGTGACATTTTTCCCCTCCTTTCTCTAAGAAGACAAAGTCTCAGGCCCCAATGCTTCACAGCTGATGTCTACTGGCTAAGTCAGTCCCTTCGAGGAGGGGGGACCCGGTGATGCCCCCACTCCTCTCTCGACTGCGACTCCATCGTATTCCAAAGATAGCCCTAGTACGGCTATAGGGATTGAGGCACCAATGCGGTCTCCTACGAGGACCAGAGCTTCACATAGCTGCCCTACTTCTAGCAGTGGTTAGTTATCCATCTTGCAGGACATGAACCTGACCAAGGAGCAACTTTGGGGGTTTGTGATTACTGTGGAGATCCAAGAGGTTAGTTTTCGAGGTTCAAAGGGCATCATTGACACTGCCATGAAGGGTTTTTCTATGGTATGCTTTTTATTTAGCTTTGATCTTATACCTGGCTTCATTCTTTCATGCTCTGACTTTTGAATGCCTGTAAGTGGCTACCACTTTTTCCTGCTTGTTATCGCACGATGAAACTTAGAGAGGCATTCAGTGGTTAGACAGTAGAGAGGCAGGCACGAAGTGCTGCTGAGAAGTAGTTGGGGCTCGAGAGGCTACCGAGAAACAGTTGAGGCTAGCACACGAAAGAGTTACGCCCCTTGAGACCTAGCTTTTGACGTCCTGTGTGAGGGTCGCCCAACTGGAGGCTTCCAGAGGTACTACTTGCATGAGAGTAGAGATAGAGCTTGCAAGCATCCTATGAGAGGGCCGCTAGAGTAGAGGCCGAGCTACGGATAGCTCGAGAGAGGACTGTCGTGGCAGAAGTTGACCTTCGAGCAACTCTTAAAAGAGCTAGCAGGGCAGAGGCTCACTCTGTTGAGATAGAGAAGAAGAGGGATTCTATTGAGAGGGTCGTGGTAGGTGCCTTTATTGATGGTTATGAGGAACTTAAGGGGAAGGTCTTAGCAGCTTTCCCTTCATATGAATTTTTGGCTTTGTCCCTTATGAGGCACCAAGGATTGATGATGAGGAGGAGAGCTTTGATGGAAGTGGATCGAGGAACAGTGAGTGATTGTCAAGAGTACCGTACTTTTATCTACATATTTCTCTTTTTCTTGTTAGGTCATGTTGTATCTTTTGTAAATAGTTTATGAACTTCTATGGAATGAGAGACAGTTTTTTTGAAAAAAAAATATACAATCTTACGAAATTTTATTTCATAATTTGAGGTAAATAACAACAAAAATTATCTAAAACAACAAAAGATAGTTTGAATAATGCCTACTGACTTGTGCACCCACTTACTTGCCCCCCAACTATTGATAATATCTCTTTAGGTGCTCTGTGTTTCATGAATGGGCCAAGACTTTTTCTTCAGAGTTCTGAATTCTGTAGGTGCCTGGTCTTATAACTTCTGTGACCATGTGGGGTCCTTCCCAATTTGGGTCTAGCTTCCCCGCCCAAGAATCCTTAGTAGATAAGATAACATTTTTGAGGACTAGGTCCACAGGTAAGAAGGAGCAAGGCTTTACCCTCGAATTGTAGTACTTGGTCATGTGATGCTTGTACTCTATATTCCTGAGTATGACTATCTCCCTCTCCTCCTCTACCAAGTCGAGGTTGATGTGGAGGCCTTCATTAATGGTAAGGTCATGATGTTGGACCCTAAGGGAGTGTATCCCAATCTCAACTGGTATGACTTCCTTTGTCCCATAGGTTAAGGAGAAAAGAGTCTCACCCGTGGGGCTCTTTGGTGTTGTCCGATAAGCCTATAGTACTCCTACGAGTTCATCCATCCATTGCCCCTTCACGCTCTCCAATCTAGTTTTTAGGTTACAAAGGATGGCTCTCACGGTGACCTCCCATTCGCGTTGTCTGTTCGCATGTGGATGGGTTGGGTTGGAGTGGGGCTGTTTGATCTGAAGGTCAGTGCAGAACCTGTTAAGGAGTTTATTGTCAAACTGCTTGGCGTTATCGCTTACAATTGCATAAGGTATTCCAAAGCGGCAAACTATGCTCCTCCAAACGAAGGTTTTTACCTTCTGGTCTATTATTCGTGCTAAGACCTCAACTTTTGTCCATTTAGTGAAGTAGTATAGGACTACTATCACAAATTTCTATTGGCCTCGACTCATGGATAGAGGACCAAGGATGTCGATCCCCTACATGGAGAAGGGCTGCGGGTTCTAGATGGTGGTGAGATATTCTGGTGGTTGTCTGGGCACAATTACGAAGCGTTGACATTTGTCGCACTTCCTTATGAATTCACGGGCGTCTTTGATCATGTTAGACCAGTAATGGTCTTGTCATACTGCCTTGTGAGCTAACGNAAAAAAAAATATACAATCTTACGAAATTTTATTTCATAATTTGAGGTAAATAACAACAAAAATTATCTAAAACAACAAAAGATAGTTTGAATAATGCCTACTGACTTGTGCACCCACTTACTTGCCCCCCAACTATTGATAATATCTCTTTAGGTGCTCTGTGTTTCATGAATGGGCCAAGACTTTTTCTTCAGAGTTCTGAATTCTGTAGGTGCCTGGTCTTATAACTTCTGTGACCATGTGGGGTCCTTCCCAATTTGGGTCTAGCTTCCCCGCCCAAGAATCCTTAGTAGATAAGATAACATTTTTGAGGACTAGGTCCACAGGTAAGAAGGAGCAAGGCTTTACCCTCGAATTGTAGTACTTGGTCATGTGATGCTTGTACTCTATATTCCTGAGTATGACTATCTCCCTCTCCTCCTCTACCAAGTCGAGGTTGATGTGGAGGCCTTCATTAATGGTAAGGTCATGATGTTGGACCCTAAGGGAGTGTATCCCAATCTCAACTGGTATGACTTCCTTTGTCCCATAGGTTAAGGAGAAAAGAGTCTCACCCGTGGGGCTCTTTGGTGTTGTCCGATAAGCCTATAGTACTCCTACGAGTTCATCCATCCATTGCCCCTTCACGCTCTCCAATCTAGTTTTTAGGTTACAAAGGATGGCTCTCACGGTGACCTCCCATTCGCGTTGTCTGTTCGCATGTGGATGGGTTGGGTTGGAGTGGGGCTGTTTGATCTGAAGGTCAGTGCAGAACCTGTTAAGGAGTTTATTGTCAAACTGCTTGGCGTTATCGCTTACAATTGCATAAGGTATTCCAAAGCGGCAAACTATGCTCCTCCAAACGAAGGTTTTTACCTTCTGGTCTATTATTCGTGCTAAGACCTCAACTTTTGTCCATTTAGTGAAGTAGTATAGGACTACTATCACAAATTTCTATTGGCCTCGACTCATGGATAGAGGACCAAGGATGTCGATCCCCTACATGGAGAAGGGCTGCGGGTTCTAGATGGTGGTGAGATATTCTGGTGGTTGTCTGGGCACAATTACGAAGCGTTGACATTTGTCGCACTTCCTTATGAATTCACGGGCGTCTTTGATCATGTTAGACCAGTAATGGTCTTGTCATACTGCCTTGTGAGCTAACGCACGACCTCCTAAGTGGTTTTCACATATCCCTTCATTGATCTCTCTCATGGTGTAATCTGTTTCCTCGGGAGTGAGGCAGCGGAGTAGTGGTAGTGAATAACTTTTCTTGTAGAGGGTGTTACGTAAGATGACATACATAGATGCTCTCATTCTTAACTTTTTGGCTTCTACTGGGTTGTTTGAAAAAACGCCTTTCTCTAAGTAGACTTGGAAATGTGTTATCCAATTGGCTTCGATGGATGTACAATTAACATCGTTCTCCTCTGCCTTGAACCTGCTTGGCTCAAAATGGTGGCATGTCAGTGTTGGACTCATGAGTATGTTGGCAAATGCGAATTTGGCAAGGGCATCCGCCATGGCGTTCCCCTCTCTAGGCACATGGTGGATTTGAAAGTGATTGAATTTATTCTACAAAGCTTGGACCACTGACAGGTACTCGTGCATTTTTTCCTCTTTCGCTTCAAAATCTCTCTTTACCTAATTAACTATCGGCTGAAATTCGTTGTAACCTGTTAGGCAGAGGGCTTCCATCTCCATTGTAAGCTTCAAGC